TCCGAGTCATAACGCCACTGGATGTCGTGCACGAATGGGTGGGTGCAAGCAAGACTGAATTGACAGAAGGGCAGAGTCGTGTGTCGTCGTGTGGATTGTTGGAAGATCAAATCCCCGGTGCAGAGTTTCCAACCAGGTTGTTGTGTTGGTGGTGCGACTCCATCGTGTCATCGATTCGACCACATGGGCGTCACGCCAACGAGTTAGTTTGCCGTACGGGGGCGAGCTACGTGTGTCATTCATGTTTTGGAGCGTTTCATCATACTTTTGTTGAGTAGAGTGTATTTTTCATGTTTTTTTTTTTCTTTTAAATGATTCGTTCGCACATTATTATTGCCTTCGTTGGCGGCTTGGTCAGTCCATTTTCTAATTAGTCGTCTCACCGTTAGGTTGTCTGTAAAGAACTGCGTTCTCCATAGCGGCGGGCTTGGTCCCAGTGTGGAAACGGATACTTTGGCTGCCGGCATGTGCTTGTTTATGACTGCAGTTGTTGCTTCAACCCCTGTTGCAAGACGCATTGTCACTGTTATGTTCATGTTCAAATCACACTGTGCGACAAAGATTTCGCCATTGTCTTCTGGACGTCCTTTTTCATGGCGCATGGCAGCATGATGTGTACGCATCGTGTGTGTCGTGTGTGTGCGTGCGTGTGTGTGTGTGTGTGTGTGTGTGTGTGTCACTGTCATCAAGCACAAAATGCATGCAACTTTCGAGTGGCGCGGACATTGAGTACATATTTTATGCATGAGCTCTTCAACATTCGATGGCACCGAACAGCGGACTCCACGTTCTTTACCCGGCTGCCACAGAGAAGTCACAGAGCGGCCAGTGAATTTTCGCAAAAGCTACAAGCGAGGGCAGGAACGCGACAAACCAACAAGCCCACATTCTTCCCCGATGACAGCCTGTCAGTTGGTTGGTCACACATTTCCTTTAACATTCCCCATTGTCTCACAGACCACCCCTGGGTGCTATTACTGTTTATTCTCCCCAGGCTTGCCAGCCATGCCCAACACTCCCTTCTTGTCCTTCTGCCAAACTCCACTCGCAAGATTGTTTCTCGGATAATGGTCCCTTCTCGTCCTTTCCTTTTCCTTTCTCTGCTTTTACACCACATGGCAGAAAAAGAGACCCGAAACGGAAAATGGGCCGTCGATTCAATTTATCAACGGCGGCCCGATCCCGCGTTACCCACCAGTGAAAGGTAGTGCTTTAATTTTAAAAAGAAAAAACAAGATCAAACAGATCGACCACACACACACACACACACACACACAGAGAGAGAGAGAGAGAGAGAGAGAGAGAGAGAGAGAGGGCTGCGGTTCAGTACACAGTCATCATCACAAATCCACTCAACAGTTTTGTGATGCTTCCAGTCGCAAGCCCTCTTGAGAGGCACACACAACATCCTAAAAACGTGTTGAAGAGAATAAAGATTTCTTCCAGCGACGCCACTACTGTCTCCCGAACAAAACACACCCGAATCATACGACCGCACACAAGCATTGAACATGTCCAATGGACTATAACCATCTGTCCAGTCCAATAGAGTTAGGGTGTGCTCAATTCCGGGGTAGCTGCTAGTCATAAGGAATACTGTCCTGAAGTTCATTGCACACCTCACGTTGACCATGACATTCCATCAAGGCCACGTCAAGGATTATCTTGTCAAAGCCGCCTGCATCTGGACGTAGCCCTAGACTCCTGTCACTTGTCAAGTAGGGGGATTGATATACTACAACTCCTATCGCAACGCATTGCCGGCGTTTGTTACCAGCATCTGCTTCACAGAAAGATCAGGGAGGATTCTCTCTCAGACTCCTGGAGACACAGAGAAAGGGACGGAAGGAGGAAGGGAGAGAGGGAGAGAAGGAGAGAGGGAGAGAAGGGGAGAGGGAGAGAAGGGGAGAGGGAGAGAAGGAGAGAGGAAGAGAGGAAGAGAGGAAGAGAGGAAGAGAGGGAGAGAGGGAGAGAGGGAGAGACGGAAAGAGGGGGAGAGACGGAGAACGGGAGAGAGGGAGACGGAGAGAAAAGAGGGAGAGAACACGAACACGAGAGAGCGAGCGAGCGAGGGAGGGAGAGATGGAGAGGGAGAAGGAGAGAGGAAGAGGGAGAGAGGGATGGAGATGTTTGAACGGGAGCATGAATGCACGAGATTCAGGAGGATCCTCTCTCCGTCCTAGAGACAAAGGGAGGGAGGAAGGAAGAGAGGGAGCGAGGGAGATGTTTGAACGGAAGTGCGGACGCATGACTTCAATTTACAAATTGAACTTCCAGCACGGTGCAAGATAGCTCCAGGAACCAATCAGTTACAGAGAGGGAGGGAGGGAGGGAGGGAGGGAGGGAGGGAGGGAGGGACGAGGGAGGAGGGAGGAAACAGCAGTTCGAATGCATGGTTTCGAATTCGACTTCCTTTCGGGGCGCTGCAGGAGAAGACCAGTGACCAGAACAGATTCCAGTCCGTTTCTTCTTCCGGCGAACCTATGATGATCCTACACTTTCCAAGTGGGGTAACCTGACCAACGTGCTCCATGGAGCGAATTCCACTGCTTTTTTGTTTTTTCCCCTTTGTGATTTCCACAGATTTTCAGAAAGAGCGGAAAGACCCGACTTTGTATTCCTCCTACGAAGACGTGATTTCTGATCAGTTTAGTATCTGATCCGTGCTCCACCCGACCAGATGGGAAAACCAAAAATTGAATAGGTAATTACTTGTTTCACAAAGGGCGGGAGAATGGATAAACCGAAAACAAAGAGGGGTTGGCAACATCAGCAGCGTTGACTGTTGATAGAGTAGTCAATGAAGCGGCGTGAGATGGGACGCGTGGGATGACTAAGGAAAGGATATGTAGAGGAGGAAAAAGGGGCACAGGAGGCAGTAAGGAGGAGGGGCAGGAGGAGGGAGGAGGAGGAGGAGGAAGAGGGAGGAGGGAGGAGGAGGGGGGAGGAGGAGGGGGAGGCGGCCGGAAACAAGGGGACAAATTTCCGGTTGAGAAGCAAAAGAACTAACAGAGCTCTCCATGTAATTCACGCTGAAGAAAAGGACGACGGCAGCCTAGCTGAAGAGACAAACAAGGGGGTTTCGGGGTTTCGGTGGGGGGGGACGGATTCAGTAGAACATCTGTCCACGGACATGTTCCCCCACCACCCCCCAAACAAAAAGAAAAGGGTGAAAAAACAGTTGTTTTTTTTTGCCAATGGAGCCCAGATCAGATACTAAACTGATCCGAACAGAAAAATAAAAATAAAAATAAAAAGTCCGATGCTTTAGCAACTACCCACCAGCAGAGAGATCTCCGACATCCGATCCCGTTCCAACGAGCGAGGAGTAGGTGGATAATGTGGTCTTCATGGAGAAAGAGGGCTCAATAGGGGTGCAAAGGAAGATGAACAATGAAGTGAGCGTGTAGAAAGAACCAGCAAAAGGAACATGAGCTTCAAGAGGAAGAGGATTCAGCGCTTCGCCAATAACGAGGGGGAGTTCAAGGATGAAGTACAGCGCAGGGAAGGAGAAGACGATGCCATTAGAAGTGCAGAGACCAGAACACCGGGACAGAAAGCAGCATGCTAGCAGAATGCAGCGGCGACAAGCGAGGGGATGCATGGCGTGGAACGATTGAGGTGTGAAGACATTCGCGTGCACTGGAGGCTGGCGATGACGGGGTATATATGAGTGGGTATGTGCGTGCACGTTGAGAGAGAGGGGGGGAGAGAATATTGTGCAACATTTAGTCTTGGGAATCATGCTAAACGGGAGGGAGGATCGCAAGCCTGGAGAGAGAGAGAGAGAGAGAGAGAGAGAGAGAGAGAGAGAGAGAGAGAGAGAGAGAGAGAGAGAGAGAGAGA